ATTAAATTAATTAAAGTATTTAATTAAAACGGCTAAAATTTCTGGGTGTTTTTAGCTATTTTACTACAAATTGTAACTTTTATGTAATTTGATAATTTTTTTCTGCTAGTTTTACAATTTTTTTACAACCCTTTCTCTATCTGGGTGCTAATTTCAAACTGTGGCTGCTACCTTTAGTTTATTTTATGCTAATTTGAGCTATTTTAGCTTTAACTGGATTTCTTCTACTTTTTTGCAAAGTTAGTTTTTTTTTCTTTAAAATGTGTTTTATTTGTCTGTACAGGAGCTGTTTGTTGTATTTTAATATTCTTTAATAAAAACTCTGACAACTATAACATACTGGGAGCACATTCACAGGGTTTGTTTGCTTGTTTACATGTTTACTGTTTACATTTTGTGAGGAGAAATTAGGACAAACAGTAGAAGAGACACCAATGTTCACTTGTTCTGAACTCATTCACCTGCAAATCCTGTCTCTGTCCACTAGATGGCAACAGAGTCCAGTGAAAAGTTTCCAGTCTGATCTGCAGCTGAGAAAGTTTGATTTGTTGTTGTTTTTGTTGTTGTGCTGCAGGACTTTGACAGTCAACAACAACTGCTGAAAACACAAAATATACAAGGCAAACTGCAACGTAGAAGCAGTAAGACAAGATGTTGGTTTACCTGTTGTGTTTAGAACCCAATTTTAGACAAGACAAGGTAAGTTCACACATCACACACACATGCTATGTTTCTCCGTACTTGTGGGGACTTACCATTGACTTCCATTCATTTACTGCTCATTTCTACAGCCTCAGCACGGTCTGACAGGTGTTTATGTCCTCATTACGGTCTGACAGGTGTTTATGTCCTCAGTACAGTCTGACAGGTGTTTATGTCCTCAGTACGGTCTGACAGGTGTTATGTCCTCAGTACGGTCTGACAGGTGTTTATGTCCTCAGTACGGCCTGACAGGTGTTATGTCCTCAGTACAGTCTGACAGGTGTTATGTCCTCAGTACGGTCTGACAGGTGTTTATGTCCTCAGTACAGTCTGACAGGTGTTTATGTCCTCAGTACGGCCTGACAGGTGTTATGTCCTCAGTAT